CAGTTGTGTTGCTTATGGCTGAATGTCCTGGGTGTGTCTGTCAAAGCTTGTTTGCTGGCTGGAAAATCCTGTTAAGATCCATCTTACCAGGGCGAGAGCCCATCTTCACTGCTTCAGTCCAGCAGCCCCGAGATGCCTGCGTGGCATCTGCTGCATAACCTGCTGGTAACTGTGTCCACCGAATCAGCAAGTCAAGATCCTCCAAAGCTCCCAGTCTGGTGAGATCAGGGGCTGGGCAAGACTGATGGGTAACAAGCCAAGGATGCAATGACTGTCAGCCTAATTTGAAAGGGAGAGCTCTTGACTACCTCTGCTGTCAGCTGTTGATGCTCCATTGATATTGCTGGAGCTGTGGCAGGGCTGCACCTCGTTTGTAGTCTCTGCAACTAAGCACCATAGGCCTTGTAGATACTGCAGTCCTACAGCCATCTGGGCCTAAAAGCTGGATTATCCCTGTCCTCGCCTGTGATCCCTGAGAGAGTTCCCAATATTTCTTAATGCCAGAGGGGCACATCCATTTAGATCCAACCTGCAGAAGAGGTAAACTGGATTCCTCTCATTACCAGCTCCTGTTTTGGAGGTCCAGGAGCTGATCTGGGGCTCTGGCTGTGTCACTGAGGACAAAGGACAACAGCTCATTTGGAGGGCCAGATGCTTGCCCCATATGTGATCTTACCATGATGGCCTTCCTCTGATGTAGGGACTTCAGAGATGGACATAAAATCTGTGTGGTGGAGCAAATGGTGTCAAAATTACCCAGGTTGCTGGCTACTCACTGAGTGCAGCAGGCGGGCTTCCTCCCTGTGTGCATTGGTGCTGCTGCTGGACAACACAGTGGCTGTGATGACAGGACACTGCTTGTAAGGAAATTAGGTCAGAAACACCCATCTTGGGTGCATTAGCAGCTGGCAACACCACTTCTGGGTGCTTCCTCAAAGCCAAAGAGGTGGCTAGACTATGCTTAATCACAGAGGTTTGAGTGAGCTCTGGCAATAGTCTTTTTTTGAGAGCGGGCTCAAAATCAGTGTCTGGGGCTTGAAGAAAGCATCATGTAGTATCCTCATGTCACATGTGCACAGGATGTTTGAAGAGGTTTTATTCTGCCCTTTCTCTCACAAAGAGACAAATGTGTCTTGTCCTCTTTCCTGTAGCTCTCAGCAGGAGTGTTTCTGGGCAGAAGCCATGGCAGGTTTTGCATGTTTGTTCAAGGCTGGTTGTAGTATTTGTGTTCACTTTGGGCCGGGCTTCGGGATTGATGGCTGCCCCCGGCCTTGCTCGTGGCCTCCCCTCCCTGAGGGCTGTGGGGGCAGGAAGGACGTTATACATGACGTGGCTTTGCCTGCTCCATGCCGTGGGCACGCTGCACATGACCTGGTCACACTGGCCCCTCTCCTCCTTAACTTCAGCCACGATCCAGCCTGCTCCTGTGCTGGTATCAAGGGTTTGGAGGGTTTTTTTTCCTGTTTATTTATTTTTTTTATTTTTTGGTGAACCCTAGTGAAGGCCCTTTCCTAAGGGGCCAGGCAAGCTCTGTGTAAGTCCAGGATCACAGCAGTCCTGGCAGCAGCTTGTCTTTTCCACCAAACCCAATTAAGATTCAGTCTTGGCAGAATGGAGCCTTTCAAACTGCCAGCCGCAAAAGGCGAGATCCGCCTTCAAGGGCAGCAGAAATTATTCCCTTCCCTCAGCTATACTTATTTCTTGGATTTGGGCTGAGGATGGCCCCAGGAGTTGATCTGCAGAAGCCAAACGAGCCACACAGAGCTCAAACGTTTCCACTGAGCGTCAGACCCAGGGTGGGGAAGCACAGCTCTGCATAGCGTGGAGACTGTGGGTGGCAGCCGGGGAGGCGGGTGGAGGACGTAGTCCTGCTCGCTGCCTTCAGACAACAGTAATTCTAGCTTAGCTGGAACTTTGCATATGGAGAGGCTTGAGTGCCGAAATGACCCTGCTAATTAAATAGGCATTCCTTAAGGACCTTGAAAGCAGTAGTAAGGGAAGGTCAGAGCTGCACAGCCGAAATCCCACTCTCCCAGGCCCACAGAAGCAGCTGCTACCTGCCAGGACTTTGCCTGGTGTAAAGCTGCACAGCTCTGCTGATGTTGAAGGAGCTATGCCACAAGTTGCACCAGTTGAAACGGGCCTAGGGCACTGTTAATAGAGCAGCTGTATATATGATGGCATATGTTTTTTTTCCCAAGGATAATGCAAGCACAGCTTTAGAGTTGCCGGATCCTTTTGCTGTTTCCTCCTCTTCCTCTCTCCACCTTCTGTCACTTGTACATCTATTGTAGCCATGTTCCCCTTGGCACTGGAACCAGAAACTTTGCTTTTGCTGGCTTTGCATCCTTTCAGCAGTGCACCCTGGAGGTATCATGGGTATGGAGGGGAGCGTTTGTGTTGCATTTATTTTTAAGCCTATCTCTCTATAGGAATAGCTTAGTAGTACAAAGAGTTGCTGCTGGTTTTGAATAGGCTGTCCAGGATTTGAGGGTAAGCTCTATTGCTCTGTGTCTGCCACCTTGTTCAGGAAAAGCTATTGCGGAGGCAAAGGTCTCTGTAATACTGTTGCTAATTTGCAGTTACGCTAGGAGTAATGCTTAAGCAGTAAGGAAAGCTTTGTCACAGCTCTACAGAGCAAGTGTTGTGCTGGTGGCACCTAGGAGACCCACAGACATTAGGCAACTTGCCTGATTGGCCATGCCACTCTTGCCAGCGGCTTGTGCCTGGGAAGCTGAGCAATGTCCGGTTTGTCCTGCAGCTCTTTTTGGAGCAAGGCTCAGCAGTGTCTCAGAGTGTCAGGCCCTGCACTGAATTTGTACTCTAACTGTGCTTTACCGCTGTTATTTTGGGTACCCTCTGCTCCTCAAAGGAGCAAATAGGATGAGCACAAAAATAGAGATGCTAAACTGAGAGCTTTCTAAACACGGCCCTGGCAGCACAGAGGGACAGAGGAAGGTAGAGCTAGCTGGATTTGTCCTCAGCTACTGTTGTATACAAGTGTTCTGACCAAAATGAAAATCCGCTCTTATTATGACAGGGCGCATTCACTCTTTTCAGGCCCGACTTGTGGAAGAGGATTCAGCTGCTCCACCCTGTTGCCTTTCCAGGGAGTGAGCCAGACGTGTCAGGGGTTTGTCTGCCATCGTCATAGCTTTCCAGCGCTCCTCAGATCCGCTTGCGTTTGAGACCTAACTCAAGGCTTTAACCTGAAGTCTTGAAAAAAAACAAAAGCTTAGTCAGTCAGCCCCCTGCAAACAGCAACTCAGTGAACGTTTTTATGTTCACTGAAATGCTAAGCTTTCTCTTGGAACAAGGCTCTAGTAAGTGGAGGGAAGTAAACTGTGCTGTGTTTCTATTTAACTAATTAGCCCTCCTATGTCCTGGCCAAAGCACACACAATGTTACAGCCATTTTTAAGCTGTTACATGCCTGCATAACTGTTGCTGAGCCAGCCAGCAGGAGCTGCAAACTAGCTAATGCCAAGGAGGGGGTGGGATGAAGGGCCAGATCCTGTTCAGTCAAATCCCATATAAAGCTGAGTAACCTCAGTGACTTAAGTAGAATTACTGCAGGTCATCAGTGGTTTAGAATGGCTCACAATTTCTTTCCCCCTTCTAATGTTCTGCTGGTGCTGCTTTTAGAGTCTGGTTTTGAGTGATTTCCATTCTGAAGAAGAGGTCTCTTTTTAAGGTGTTTCAAGGCATGTCTTCCTTCTACTCCCCACTTCCCTTCCCCTTGCACTTTCTGAAAGCATTAGTCTCTTTGATACAAATTTAATATTCTTAAGAATTCAAATTTAAATATTCTTAAGTGACTAGCTCCTGCTGGCTTCGCCTTTAATGTTCTGCATCCAAGTTTTTTTCCAGGGCAGCCTAAGGGAGGGGTAACTGGCTGCAGGATGTGGTTGTGAAGGCCTGCCTCAAAAGACACAGACTGGATTAGCAGTGAACAGACAATAAAACACAAGTGGGGAATTAGCTGGGACAGGTAAGAGTTTCCAGTAGGCAAAAGAAAAATTGCATATGCATTGTGAGGGCCATCAAGCTCTGCAACATTGACTTTGCATGCCATTATGTACAGTGCTAGTGGTGTCACTTGTGCCTTTATGGCATCCTTCAAGGGAAGGATGTGGTAGGCTCAGTGCTGTAGGCCATTTCTTTTGGTTAAACCTTTAAAATCCTAGTTCCAAGTTAGGAAGCAGCTCCTACAAAGAGGCTGCAAAGCTTTGTGCTGTGGTCCCAGGATCAGCAGCAATTCTTGTCTGTAGAAAGAGAGGCCCCGGGGCAGCGCAGGTGCAGTCTCAGCCCTGCGGCGGAGCGCCTGCTGCTTTGCCCCTGCCTGGAGGCCCCTGGCTTCCTGCAAGGCTGCAGCTACTTAGAGCAAACAGGTCAACCAGCTGAATTCCCTCTGATAAGAACAGGCCTTCCTAATACTAAAAAAGCTTTCCTTGAAGCTGAGATGGACTAAAAAGAGAATTCTCCTTGCACCTATCCGCCCTTCTGTAGGGACAGCCTTGGTAGAGAAGCGTCCCTGGACATTAGTTTCAATGCATGGTCACTCTAAGTAAGAGGAACTCGGCTCGCGAGGCACCAGTTCCTTATGTTTCTTGGCAGCACAAAACAGTGGCAAGTTAAGTGCATCCACTGACGCAGGCCTGTTACAGACAAGTGGGAGAAGCTGGGCTAAAGAGGAGAGATGAGAGGAGAGATGACAAATTATGATGCTAAACCTATGGGATTATTCAATTTAAGAAAAATCCATGAAGAGCTGAGCTCCCAGCAAAGAGAAATGTTGGGTCCCTTACAGTAGGGGGTTATCTTGACTGATTTCTTGCGAATTGCTGACTAACAATTGCAACTTTTAAGGTTTGTCTTGCTGCTCTGGAGTTAGAGAAACTAAAATGGTATAAAACTTTTCACAGAAACTTATTGATTAAAATGTAAATGTTCCTTTGAATGAATAAAAAGGGTATTCAGAATAATACAAACCACGCTTACTGCAGTTACAACTAGCATTTATTAAAAATGCAGTGGACAAAAGCATGCTTCCAAAAATACTGAGTTCTTCAACATGTAGTAGTACCATTGCCCACCCAGCAGCACTGAAACATACAATGCTGTCAACTCACTTCTCTTGCAGCATAGTCTCTTGAATTACGCTTGCTTCAATATCTATTAATGTGCATAGTTTCAAGACTTGACAATGTAATAGCATAACATGGCACCAAAATCTGTTTGTCAATTTGGAAGCTTAGGGCACTGTCAAACCCAGAGAGGAAGTAGTGAGTTTTCAGATGTGCGTTTCAGTCATGTGTGCGCTGTAGTCCCTTATGTGAGCTAAAGTCGTCTGTACGAGCTCCTACAACATGCCAGCAAACTTGTTAAAAAATCATATGCCCCAAAGCATCATTTGATCACTACTATGTCTAGTTTCTTTCTAATTTTGAGAACTACCTAGTGACTGGATGAAGGCAGGGGAGGTCAGGGTACCTGTGCGTGGTTGTGAGGGATTGGGGGGGGGAGGGGCGGCTAAGTGCTTGTATAAGTCAGGTAACTCAGCAGGGAGCATGGTGCTACACACATGCTTCCTTTCCCAGGCAATTTGTTCCAGTCCTGAGCTACTGAAGCTAGTGTAGCAGCTCCACAGATGGACACAGTGTCTTGTATTTGCATGGTCCCACTGGGATTCTTGAGGCACAAAGCAGCGGCTGTGCTAGGGCTAGTGGTGGAGAAGGCATGAGAGCACATAATGAGGCCAGGAAGGAGTTCACTGCGGCTGACTTTGGCAGAAGATGGCACCACTGCATCTTTACGTGGTGGTACAGTTAACAACTCAGAAGCCTCTCACAGGAAGGCTTCTCCTGCAAAGGCCAACCTGCGAGTCATGTATTTTTTTTTTTTTTCCCCAAGGCAGTGATAGGAGAGCCCAAGGGTCTAGTCTTTCCTCCAGTTACTGTTTTGTTGTCTCTCTCATTCATTAGACTGAAGCCAGGTCAGGCTTCTTCCCTCTGCATAAACTAGAGGACAACTGGGTCTCTGCTGTAGGAGAAAGAGTGTGCTCTGTATTGTTCATTCTTTTTCCACTTTAGGCAGCACAGACGTCAGGCAGCCTCCTAGGAAAGGAGCATGGGTTAGGACTCCTAGGAGCAAGCAGCTGTTTGTTTGCAAGTCTTGGTGCCAATGAACCTTGGATACGCGGTCACTACTCTTTTTTCTTTCTTTTTTTTTTTTTAAAGTGCTAAATCCACCAGCTTATGTGACATCAAGGGAATTACAACTATAACACTAAATACAGACATACAAATCTTTATGGAGCTGGGCCGCTCTCGCTCTCTTTCTCTCTACCATCAATCTTTCCAGACTCCTTCCCCTTGTCTGCTGCTGAGCAGGCTCAGAAGTAGCTGTTAGGTGTGCGTTGCTCTATGTGTCTTATCTCACAGTAACAATGAATAAAGAACCAAATTAATGCACCTGCAATGGAAAAAGGTGCTATTTCAGTGCCTTTTGTGGTAACTAGTGTGTGAGAGTTGTAAAGCATATGTAAATATATTTACAGAGAAAAAAAATCTACTACTGCCGCAACATAAAGTAAGCACAGCTCTAAGTGAGCAGGATGCATGATAGTGTGGTGTGCGCTTTACTGGTGCTCAGCGTAACTTCAGCTTATTTCATGGGCAGTGGCTCCAGGCAAAGTTTAAGACTTTTTTTCAATAGCCTATTTCAAGCTGTTAGAGCTGTCTCTTCAACTCTGTGTGCGTATTGAGAGGGAGCACCTTGAACTATGTGTGCCTTCACAGTAGCCATAAGCACTGGAAAACAAGTAAACCAAAGCTGAAAATACTGTGTTTAGTCTGAGCATTTAAATGAATATTTAAAAGGCTCTATCACTATTAATAAAACAATGCTGAGTAATTATCTAGGGCAGTCAATTACCAAAGTTATTAAAAGCCCTAGGACCATTCCTCCTGGCAACTTAAATGTGACTAGTCACTGGAAGCTGGCTGTAGGATTAAAAAAGTCTTTTGGGTCTTGGTGCAATGTATACTCTGAACTCAGGGAGAGCAGACACTGGCTTCGTTATAGGGCATAATTAAGCCCTTCAGCATGCAGACACAGGGCCTCAATGTACTTAAGAGCTAAGGGCAAAATGTTGGAACATGCTTCTAACATTGTAAAAGGTATCTTTCAGATCAGCGACATAACTCTTCCAGCATCAGAAACCACCTGTTCTACGTCATGCTTCACAGAGCACTCAAGGCAGAGGGCTGGGCAGCTGCCTTTTTTTTTTTTTTTTTTTGAAATTGATATGTGGATATTTCTAACTTGTGGACAACAGAAGCAGTAGCAACGCAAAGGGAGAGGAGCTGACCCTGATTGTTCCACAGTTATCATCTCTGCTGTATGTATAGTAAGGTTCCTGAGCTGTTTTCTTCTCTGTCACCCTTTAAATTCAACTTTCGGGGAGGGGGGGGACAATTCTCAAATCCTAATCCTTGGCTTAAAAATAGTTGCCAAATAACTGTGCTTTCAGCAGTAGCTTCATTTCCAGAGCTCACAGTTGCATGGTGTGATGACAGCAGCTGTGAATACTTCCCAGCAAGAAGGAACAAAAAAAAAAAAAACCTCTTTGTGGTATAACTGGGAATCTCTACTCAAGCTCATGATGAGGACACTGAAATGAAGTTATTGGTTGAGTGGAGAAGTCTGTCCTCTAAAAAACAGATGTAGTTAGCAGGTGGCTCCACTGTTCACGCAGCAGAAAGGGTAAGGTTAGAAGTGGAGTTACATGGTTGTTGTAGGGTACATCTGCTGAGGTCTCGAAGCCTAATGCAGCTGGGCAAAAGCTTTTTCCATGAAGAGGCTATATGTGAGCAGTGGCCACCTGAGGAGGACTAGAGGTGTCTGGATATGAACTAGACCCTTGAGAAGTCTCCCCTCTGCCCACCCGTCTTACTAAGCAACTTCACCTCTTCAATCACAATGTCGTGAGTGACTGCTTTGCACATGTCATACACAGTCAGGGCAGCCAGACTGGCAGCTGTTAGAGCTTCCATCTCCACACCTGTCCTCCCCCAGGTCTGACAGGAGCTGCGAATCACCACTGCGTGTCTGGCCTCATCCAGACTCAGAGACACCTCAACATGGTTGAGGGGGATGTTATGACACAGCGGGATTAACTGGCTGGTCAGTTTTGCTCCTTGGATTCCTGCAATCTGGGCTACTGCCAGCACATCCCCTTTCTTCATCTGGTTCTGCCTCACCATCCCAAATGCCTTCTCACCCAGGTGGACCACAGCACCAGCAACAGCAGTTCTTCTGGAAACCAGCTTCCCTCCAACATCTACCATTGTGGCCCGGCCTTCCTCATCTGCGTGAGTCAAGCTATCAGAGGCATGAGGTACCTTGGTGCAAGACCCAGAATCCCTGCTAAAGAATTCATATCCTGGACTTGTCTCATTGGAGCAAGAGTCCACAGAAACTTGGCCAACAGGAGAAGTCTCTATCTTAAGGCACTTTGTGTCAAAGCTGGAGCTCAAGTCCTTTCGGCAGACACAGCTGCCTCTGCGCTGAGTTTGCAGAATTCCTGTCATCATGTGCTGCTGTTGCTCTGGGTGAGATACTGGCAGGATAAGCTGTCCTGTAAGCTTATTTTTCTTGAATGTTTTTCCTGTCTGTTTGGATAAACGTGCTCTCAAAGTCAGCCGATGACTAACTGTGTGGCCCCACTGCTTTGAACTTGGGGGATTCTGCAGGGCATCTTGGTGTAGTGGGGATGACATCAATGTAGCCTCTGAAAAAGAAGAGAAAAATAAGATGACGATAGCTTACCCTTCCAGGTGATAAGGTGTAAGTCTGTAACAGATAAGACTCCTACCAGAGCAGTGCTTGGGACTTTTTGTGTTACAAGAATCTCAATAAGCCTGCAACCATCCACTTTTCTCCTCAAGTTCTCCTCTCCCACATTCTGACTTCCCACATTTGCTGGTTTGTTAGTATAAAACCCCAGGACTAGAAACACTCACGGGAAGGTCACAGACAAGAGGCAACAACTTACTTTCAAAAAGTATCAACACATATTGAGAAACAGGAGCCTAGGAAGCTTACATGAACACTAGTTCTGAAGAAAAACAAGTCACGGCATCTCAGCATCTCATTTGATATTGCCCCAGCGTTAGTCTGCTTTAGAGAGACTGGCAGGGTTAAAAGGAAGGTCTTGCACTCACGTTCTCAACTATACCTTTCCAAATACCTTCCTTCCACCACAGGCAGTTGCACTTTGTGCTTTCTTCCCCTTCTGCAGGGACAGGTCATGCCAGCACTTGAGGAGAACAGGGACAAGAGGCACCATCTGTAACCGCACTATCCGCAAGCTCACCGGGTTGCTCTGTGGTGGGAGCCTCAGTTATTGCAGCCAGCTCTTACCATGTTAATGACAGCTGAAGTTTAAGCACTGGAAAAAATCACGCTCCCTTCATTGACAGATAGATTTTAAATCCACTCAGAAATAAGTTCCAAGATGAGCTGGCAGAGCTCCCAGCTGGCACAGAGGTAGCAAACCCTCCTGCCCTTCACCATTCAATCCCTTGGTTTTGGCATTTTCACAGGGCCTAATGCCAAGTATTAAGACAGAAGGTGCCTTTTTCACATAAAAGTGGTCTGTTTTGTAAGTAAAGAGGAAGCAGTATAGAGGTAAGCCTTACTTTAAGAGCCTCATTGATAATTTTTCTCTTCCTCTAACCTAACTTGGTAGGTAGTTAGGTTTTTGCTCAGTAGTCTCCTTTGGTATTGGGGGGGGTGAATCCCTTACTCACAAATTTTCAGACTGCTCACAGGTGAATCAAAGCAGCTTCCAGGCCAGTCTGCACCTTGCTGAGCCACGTCTTCTGCCCAGGCTTACAGGTATTACCTTGCACTGTCCACATCGTAACAGCAGATGCACTGTGGACAGGGCACTGGTGGTGGTTGTTGTTGTTGTTTTTAAATAAAAACAAAACAACAACAACAACAAAAATACCTCTTCCCTCTTGAATCCCCAGCCTCTGCTATAACAACAAGAGAGACTGATGTGCTTATCATCGCTCTCAGTCATGCAGCACCCTCTGACCATCTGTATGACAAAAGCGCAGGTTACTGAAACTCAAAGCACCATAGGTTTTTTTATCACTGCAATAATTTACATTCAGGCAAAGGCCCTTTCAGATCTACAGCTGACAGCCTATGCACTGAAATGAAGATTCTTGCAAATTTAGCAGTAATATGGTCACTCTCTGCTCTGATCCAGCACTGTCTAGAAAAACAATAAATGGGACTAAGCAGACATAAATGTTCAAGTGCAACATTACTCTGCTTTAGATGAGCACAGAAACTTGCACTTATTCCTTCTTTCTTTCCCTCCTCCTTTATATAGCAAGGGCTAATCTGAATCTTCTTTTAAAAAGCCAAGAACTCAAAGAAGTACTTTGTTCTTTTGGTTTCCCTGATTAGCTTTAAAGTTGAAGTTAAACCCCTGCAGAGCGTCTAGCCTCTCCTGGAGACAAAGGCAGACAAGTACTTAGTTCCACAGGATAGATAGACACAAAGGGTTGGGAGTTAGGAAGAGAACTGCAGTTTAACTTAAGTAGTGAGCTTAAGAAAGACGGGAAGTAAAAATAAAGCAAAAGATAGGAATGTACACAAAACCTCTCTTCTAGTATTCACCCGTCCTAACAACCTGTTTCCTTCAAGTCAAGGCTCACCACCTAGTCATCCCTAGCTTCACCCACACAAGTGGGTATGGGTTTTTTGTTTTGTGTGCTCATGCATATAAAATAAACGGATAATGGTTTTCTACAGCAGTACCTACAATACAACTGCAACTATCCAAAAAATGGTATCTCTTTGTATCCTATTACTGAACATGAAAGTTAATTGTGTTAGCTTCCAACTAGCACAATTTCAGGCAAAAAAAAGGAGGCAGTTAAATTAAGGAGGAACCTCCCATACCTGTGAAGAGAACAATCTGCCAGAAACATTACTTCAAGTAAGGGCAGTAGGAAACATCACATTACAACAAAGGATCAGACAACAGCAGTGCAGGGAAGAAGCTCAGGCTTACTGAGACCAGCAGAACAGATTAATGATTTCCATTGTGTTTGTTAAGTTTCAGTAAATGAATTCCTCCCCCTCCCCCCCCCCCAACTATTTCCATGTCAGCATTATTTGAATTGTGTAAGTAATTAAAAACACAATTAGGAAATCCCCTAGTGATTCTCCACGTGTCACAGTGGGCTGTTCTCCCTTCATCTCCACTTGTGGCATCTGTATCCTTGATGCAGAGAGAGACTGCCAGGAGTTAGTCTCCAAGGGATGTGGAACAGCTGGAGAAAACCTGGACAGGCTGCCTCGCTAACTGTGCATCAGACCACGTTAGAGCACTTTTCCAAAGGAAGTTGGATGGATCTGATCTGTGCACATCCAAACATTGTTATGAATGCATGTGGGGATTCTTTCAGCGGCATCTCAAAAGATGACAGCAGACTGGGACCTACAACAGGAGTTTAATATAGTTTATTCTTCTTTACAAACCAGAAAAATCTTCCTTTTGTAACAAGTGAGTACATATTTTAAACAATGGTTCCTCTTTTTCTGAAACACAATGCAGAGTGGCCAAACACTAAAAGCAAAAGCAAACTGAGCTAGATGAGCCTGGGCCATTGAAGCCATTCACTTTTAATCCCAACATGGAAAAAGACAGACCTTTAAGGAGGAACATTAAGTGAAAAAATAGTCCCAGTGAAAACAGCAACTATGTTGACAAGGTCCTCTGAAGAATCTATTTTCCAGTAAGGAAAACAGAAAAGCACTAGGTTTGTGGTTTAAAAAAATAGCAATTATTACATCACCTGCAGCAGAGACCTGCAGATAGATTAGTGAATGTTCCCTTTCCTTTGAGTACCTGTTTTAAAAGCTGTGTTTTAAGCTGCACAGTGACAAACCTACTCCTGAGTTTCAGTGGGAGGATGAGTGTTTGGGTTTGAAATATAACGTTAATCTCTTCTACCCTTGATGCATTTTTTTTTTTTTAATGTGACTACGAAAACAGTACAACTACCTGCAGCTAAGGCTCTCACAGTGCTAAATTTTACAAGCATTTCTTCAGTCTTTAGGAGAGAAGTATTTGGGAAGATGATAGCTATATTACAAAATAGGGAAAGGTACAGAGGAGGTAAAAAACCACACTGAAGGATATGTGAGAAAAATCAGTAACAGAACCACAGCAGGGCCACATCACTCACAGACAGAGCTTCAAGCAGAAAGTAGAGTTCGAAAAGACATCTTCAATAGGCCCAACAAGGAGAAAGGCTCTTGTCCATAGGGCTGGTCAGATACCAGATACTACAGTTTTAATTGCTATACAGCATTAAGAGGACATTTCAAAAGAATGAACCTCCATGTTCCAGATTCTAAAGAAACAAGGAGGTGAAAAAGCTTGCATTTCTATCAGATCACTGGTCCTATATAACATAATGCGAATGCCGGAATCAAAGCTGAATTTCTTGACCAAGGAATAAAAATCAGTCAGTCCTGCGTCCTCTATGTTTATTCTGCAATTTGTTCAATATTACAGCCCAGTTCTATTTCATAAAACTCACTCAAAACTGCTCTATTAATTATTCTACTGTTCTTCCTAAGTCCAAAGGAATAGTCAGGAAAGTTAGTGATTCCTCTGAAAAATTTAATGCGCTTCTCAAAATTAGAAAAAAACCACAAAACTGAAAACAAAAACCGTGCTGCCCATGAGAAGATGGGATAAGGCTTGGCGGGGACAATAAACCTGTCCTCCTTTTCCGTTTCAGCATAATTTTAAGCATAACCTGTTTCTCTCCCTAACCAAAAATTAGAGCCATACCCAAGTTAGAATTAAAAGCCCCGCCCACTCTGCTCCCCCAAAGACATAAACCAAACAAAATCATGGTATGTTTATTACGTACTGATTTATCACCCACCAATCAGGATCATTGGCCGGTTTTTCATCTGGGAAATGTTAAACATGCCTAGAAATAAAATAAGGAACACATAAAAATCCTAGCTTTCATGGTTTTAAGTCATGCACCTGGCTTGCTTATATACTTTGTTTTCTGCTCTTCATAGTGCAACCTTCATGCTAGGAAAACCAAAGCTCAAGAAAAATCAAAGGGATGGGGTGAGGAGGGGAGATAGCTAGCACGATAATATTATTTCAAAACGTAGCCACCAGAGTCTACCAGTATCCAGCTGCTAGGGAACTATCACCCTGTAGAGTCTTTTCCCAGAAAGCTTTCTATAATTTGAATTACAGTTTACCTATGACAGTATTCAAATAACTTGAGACTATCTTATTTCTTAATAATAGTGTTTAACTGTATTAATTATATGGATAAGCTGTTTAATAGTGTTCCAGTTCAAAGTCGTCCAATCACAGAAAGCGCCAAGGACAATACTGTGATTAACAAGTTGGAAAAAGAAAGAAAACGTCAGGTAAATGCTGTTGATGGCAAAATGGTTTTACTGGAGAGGGAAACGCTTCCCCTCCCACCCTCCCAAATCAGAAAAACATCACCCAAATAAATGAAAGAAATGAATGGTCTGAAAGAAAAAAAACACCACCACCACTACCCACAAACCCCACCAAATCTCCAGCTCCATTCTTAGCTTTAAAAAGCATCGTTTTATCCAGGTCAGAGCAATGCACTTTAAAAATGAGTCTACATGCAGACTGATAAGCTTCCCTTAAATCTGTTTTATGCATAACCAAAAAAGGGCAAAACCACCTATTAGTAATCTGGCAGAATCTGTAAGAGAACAAAAGAGCCAAAGCATATTTTTAATGTAAAAGAGACTACTCCTTGCTCATGGAGCCAGCACATGCACGAGAGGTCAGTATTCCCAGCTGTAGCCAGATTACCAAAAGGTGGTTAGGTTCCGATGTGACTGAAATGCAGTTTATAGCTATATAAATTAAGATAAAACAAATCTAGCTTGAGGATATAACTGCATCATCATGGACCTTGTGTCATTAACCTATATGGAGGCACAGATAAGTAGTTACACGCTTCTGTGACATCTCCCAGGATACTCAAACGGCTCGTCACTTCTAGAAACATGATAATGCAGTAGTTGGACTGACAGCTCAACATAATTTTAAGAAAAACGGAACCCAGTACAACTCTATCAATTTCTGCCTAGCTTTGTGGCTTCTTGTTGTGACCACAAGCAGTGGTATTTGCACCTCTTTGAAGACAAAAAGTCAAAAGTAATCTGAAAGACTGCTAGACAGTCTGGATTCCAGCTCATGCGGAAGGTCAGGAGACTCAAAATTGGCATTCAAACTTTGTAGTAACTGTGTGACTGGCCTGTTACCAACTTTCTACCAGATAATAATATATAGTCTTCCATCAGACAAGCTAATTCTTTTCTCTGTGAATGCAGTCTCATTCAAGAACCTTTTTCTTCCTGCAGAAGGACGTTGTTTGTCCTCGTCACTGCCTGCCTTTCTCAGGTGCAACAAACATACCAGCATGCTGTTTCTTTTTTCTGCCCACTGCTGCTCCAATAACTTGGACCAACTCTTCCTCTGAGGCACCTGACCGTAGGTGATCTCTCAAGGACACTTCTGAATTTCCAAAAAGGCACACCTGCAGCCAACCCAGAGGAAATAAGAGGAGAAATCAGAAAGATAAGAGAAGAAATGATCCTTCTGTAATGCACAGAATGACCCAGTTGGCTTAGATCAATGATTAGAATAGATGTTTCTGTGAAGGAGCAAGTTCCCATTCAGCTGCATGGACAACACCCTCTCATGACTACGCAGACATCAACAGCTCTGTCAGTCTCTGAAGGTGATAATATGACACTGTCATAAGGCTGGTGTCCTGGCTGGTAAGTCAACAAAGACAGTCAACCATGCTCTCCAAAGTCAGCTTTAAGGGAGAGCATACCCAGATGATTATTTGTGGCCAAGAACAGCATGAGCTGAACCCATAAAACACACACATTCACTTCAACACTAGTAACACTGACGGTAACTGGCGACTGGACAACAAGGGATAGGTGGTTTACTAGGCTACCATATATGTAATTCAGTTGTGACAGGATCAACACAGGGAGATTAGAAGGTTTATGCAAGCAAGTCAGCAGGATACTCTACTGCTAGTAGGATAGGAGTTAAGTACTGCTGGTAGAGTACTGTTCCCTTCCGCTAGGTCTGATGCTGAGGCAAGAAACCATGGATATGTCAGAGACGCCCTACTATTGAAGCCAGTAACCATACCCTATCCTGGATTCAGTTTTCAGATGCTGAACAGTTCCTGAATGCATGCCCATACTGATCCCAATGCAAAACTGTTACTTATTTCAAGGATTCAGTTTTTGTTTAGAGTGGTTGTTTTGAAGCAGAGCAGTACAAATGTGCCTTGCGTAGCTTGTAGGAAGCCTCTGTTGCTCAACGGTCTTGAGTCAACAGATTATACCCTATAAGCGGTGGAAAGCAAAAACATAAAAGGGCAATTTAACAGGGAATTTAAAAAGGGAATTGTAACTCCCTTAACATCACTTCTCTGTTGCTTGAGAGTCTCTTTTGGAGGGCTGGGTAGCCTATTTTAGCTTTTTGAGCTCGTCAGAGACAACTCAATTATTTTGAGATGAAAATGGAACAAAAAAAGTGTTCATTTCATACATGCAAAATATCACCTCCAAGCTATCTAAACCCTGCCATTATATTTGGCTGAAACGAGCTAATAAGTTAAAAACAAACAGGAAAAATGTGACAGGAAGCTAGAACAGTACCATACAGAACAGCATGGCTACCTTTCACAGTCACGCTTCGCCTGCACAAGCCTGATTCCTCAAAAGGGAAAATCTGCTAATGTAAACCTACCAAAATTAGGAAGTGAAGCTTCACCAAGTTTACTTCTTTTTCTTCCTCTAACTGAGCAGATTCCATGTTGGCAAGTGTCCCTTTGCATGCAAATACTAAGCAACAGAGGAATTCTTTGACAATCAGTTCTCTATAGTTTGGCTTCAGTTTATAGGGTAGCTGATCTCTTTTTCCTTTTCTCTTTGCAGACTTCATCATTCCATTCCTCCCTATCAACCTCAACTCTTCATTCTTCTAACTCTACTTTTAGGGCTCTGTTGTTCAGTGTTGTACAGTTAAGGTTCAGCTCTGTTATTACTGTATGTCATCTTTTAAAAATGTAAATAGTTTTGAAGAGGTCTAGGCTTTGGAAAAAAATGTTTATGGAAGATTTTTTTCTTTATCTCTTTCTCCATATACATACACACATAGCTTGGGAAGTTTATGTAACCTAAGCTCATTGGGCCTTCAGGCTGCCTGGGTCATCTGACATTAGACAGCAGCACAGCTGTTGTCAATATCAGGTGACAACGTAAGTGCCAATTTTTAATTGAAAACTTTAATTTTCCCTCCAGAAACTGCCAGTTTCAACGTGGCAGGAAACAGTGCTCCCTCCTCCTTCTACAGCCGTTGAGCAAATGTACAGGCTGCCCCTTAAAGAAGATGGAAGATGTTTTGTGAAACAGGACAGGATCACAGCGGAACAAAAAAGCCAAGCTCTCACAGCTGCTTGGATCTCTTTTATGGGAAATCATCTGCTTTTCACATGTTCAAGATGATTTTGAATCAAAGTTTAAAATAAATGTTTATATTTACTGGTCTTGCAACCAACATTTTACAATTCAAGTTAACTATGTTAGCAAAACAGAGAAACCAAAAAAAAAAGGTGATGTAACATCTCCCTAGCAGCCCAGCATGCTCGGCAATAATTTGTAAAGCAAAAAACCAAAAAAAGATAAATATTCCGGAGTGAGCTAGTAATAATTATGTGTCTTTCCGTCCTACCTTACATCACAGCTACTTTTAAGGGAGGAATTTCAATGCTACTTTAGCTGTGTGAAAGCAGAGATTCATGTTTCACTACTAACCTTTAGGTTTCCATCTGCCGTTATCCTCAGCCGGTTGCAGGATCCGCAGAAGTGCTCTGACATTGAGGTGATAAAACTGATTTGTCCTTGAAAATGTGGCACCTTATAACTCTACAGAAACACAGAGGAGAGAAAAAGAAGACGCTAAGATAGTCTTTTTTTTCTTTTTTTAAAAAAAAAAAGCTCAGCCTAGTTCAGGCTTTTATCAAACCTAGTCTGAAGAAGATAACTTAGGCTTCCTCTTCACAAGGGTCAGTCACAAAATCCAAGGCCTGCCTTCTCTAGACCTGGGGTCGATCAAGAGAATGATGCGAGTAGGTGAAAGTTTAAGTTCTGATGCATCTGCTGCTCAGTGCCTAAATGAAACATAGCTACTCAGTTCCATTCAATTTACAATGGGTTGCTGTACCTATATTACACAGAACCTACAACACTCCCTCTCAATTTGCCAATCTCTCAGGTGAAAAGCCAGACTATTTACTTTTGCTTTAAGCTAACCTTTAACCACACTACTACTGAGAAGAAAGTGTGTTCTGATATGCTTTTATAAATAGTACACTTATTTTCTCCCGTTCTACAACATTGAGCAGTAGTACATTTATTCAAGTCCAAAAATTCTATCCCTCCTCCTAGTTTTCAAGTTCTTTCCTCTCTAGTTCTACCTCCTTTCAAGGTACAGGAAAGCTCAATGAAAAAAGAGAAGTGGTAACCATCACTGCAAACAACAGGCTTTTTTAGTCTACTAAGGGCTCTGCCTTGAATGAAGGAGGGGAAGGAAAAAAAAAAAAAAAAAAACATGCTATCGTTACTGTCAAGAGCCTAGCAGCATTTTGCCCATACACCAAGTGTAGATACTTAACTGCTTCTTCAGAGTACCATGTTTCTAGAATATAAAGGAAAAACTCTGGACCACTTGACATTCACAAAAGTGCTTCTGTCCACCACAGACATTTTAACACAGATTTTCTTTGGAACTAATTGCACATGAGAAAAAAGCAAAATCAGTTTTGCCAGGGTATCCAATCTATTCTGCCCCATTCCTTGATAATTCATAGACTTGTTATATGTTTGCTCTTGTAGTTATCAATTGACAGCTGATGCTAGTGAGTTCTTACTCAGGCAGCCACTCAGATGCAGGTAGGCTGGCAATCCCCTTTGAGACACTGCCCCCTCTAAAACAATACTGTTAGTTCACCGAACAACTGTATCATCAGGCTTGTTCATCTCCATCAGTCATAGATGCATAGACACAGACTGTCAAAAAGTTTCAAAACCGGAAAAAACAGGATATGAGCTTTATGTTCTTTATATCTGACAAAGGCAACCAGTAAACACAGGGTGTTTCTAGAGGAAAAGATTATAATCAGGGTTTAATAAGAGTCAAACCACATGTAGGCTGCTTGACCAATATCCCAGAATTACTACACTAAGCATTTTTCATTTTGCTTGCCAAATACAAAATGCTGAACTTGGCATACTTGGGAGATTTGGGAGAGTAGGAGGAGGAAGAATGGGGACACATTTCACATGTACTTTGTCTATTCTCACCTTAGCTGTGCTGGAGGCTTCACAGGGCAGTTTCTCTAACTCAGGCCATCGCTGTTTAATTGTATCAAGCATTTCCTTGTAGCTCACCATCTTCTTGAAGTTCCATTTATTGCCTGGAATTAATAGAATTAGAATGACTTTAGACTGTGGATTGTATTTTATTGATTAAGGAAGAACCACCTTTCCAGTCTCCACAAATCTCAGTTTTCCCTATGGGTGCCCCAAACCCAACTAATCCCGTAACTAATCCTTCTCCCACCTATCCAGGGAAGATAGACAAACTGCAAAAAAAACAAACCAAAACAAAATATTTAACATAAAATCTGAGTCAATTCCTCAGGAGCTCACCAAAGCTTCAAGAAATAAGCCCAAAGAGTGAAAAATACAACCACTAGATAATTTACATATGTCCAAGACATCCCAAACTCCATGAAGAACTTCAAAATACTACTAACTGCTTACCATCAAAGGGCATGTACTCTATGAACCTCACATCAAGGGGCAGATCCTTTGTGAAATTCACAAAGCCCAGCAGTTCATCCTCATTGAAGCCTCGCATCACCACACAGTTTACCTGGAGGAAAAGCAGTCACCTGAAATTAGTGAGCAGAGTATGAATTTCTTAGCTCCTGCACAGGGTTTCATAGTCCTCAGGCAAGGCAAGGGAGATAGAAAGAACATTTTATTTTGAAAGAAAAGACAATTAGAGAAGTTGGCAGGTTTGAAATGGTGCAGATGATCATTTCTGTCACTGTCACCTTTAAGTTTTTGCATCCAATCTAACTGAACTTTAGCCTTACTGAACAGAAGACTAATAAACGTAAGTTAATGAAGGCATCGTCTTACCCATCTAAGATATGGCATTTTTACTGCCTAAAATGACAGCTCCATTCTCCAGTGCTACCTTTTACCGCTTCTGTAAAAGTTCAGACAGGATACCTTCTGCAACGTGATCTACTTTGACAAATCACAGGCAAATGCCCCAAACCGGGAAGTACTGACAGAGCACTCCACAGTCATACGCTGAAGGATGACTAGCTATGCCTGCCTCCAAAAGGAAGTTAAAACTGAGCTTTCTGCACTTTCCTCATAAGCTGTATTTACACTGGAGCCTTGGGTCTTCTCTACTTTATCCACAGAACAAGAGAGAGACGTGAATTTGTTAAAACGTTCCCTGTTAGGAAGGCAGACTTGTATATCCTAAGCAGAGTGCATCATGATTCTTAAGATTTTTCAGGAAAGCCTAAAACCTAGGTTCATTTCAAGTGTTTCCCATAATTCTACAGTCTAAACCACTTATACGTAACTGATCTTCCAGAACGCTGGAGAAACTGCAAGGAACCACAGTTGTAGTTCAGAACTACAAACAGCTGAGTTAGGGTGAAGTTTCAATTTTACAGCTAAGCTGATCTACCTGCATCCCCAAAGGAGAACTCCCTTTGCCTCTCCCTTGCACTGACACTCATCAGACTCTGCTGTGAGTGGTTTAAGGAGATAAAAGCAGGAGAATATTATTAATGTCTTTCTGCAGGGTAGTTTTCTGGCTGTTAACTCCCTTGGTCAAGTTCACAGACAGGTCAGAGAAGTGGCAGCTCAGAGGGAGTGGGAACAGGCAAGCAGAGAGCAGGACCATGCCTGTAGCTAGGCAATCAACAGGCTTTGCTGCATATGAACTATACCCTCAGCTGCACATGGAGATAATACGAGTTTCCCCCCCCCCCCCACTACTTCCACCTTAATC